TAAGAAAGAAAAACAATCTTGCAAAGTTTTTAAAGAGGCAGTAAGCTAATATAACCTTCGCAAGTGTAACAGCACACAACTACTAAAGTAAATATTCTTAGAAGAAAAAAAACTACATAAAAAATTATACATACAAAGAATAATTCTATAAAAATGAGCAAACACGTATATCAACATTTTTTATACTGTAGGGCAAGAAAATAATTTGCTTCCTAATTCCAACCATTTAGGTCCACTATCCCTCGTCCAGGTGTCTAGATGAGAAAATTTCTTTCCACCGACACCAGATCCCCTTGGCTCATACACCCACACAATGGAAGAAAGGTTTTACGGTAGCAAAAACACAAATACTTTTAAGTAAGAAATTTATCTTCCATATCTAGCTGTCCAAAACAGGACAATTGCTCATGCTCCTCATTATTCATTAAAGCATCAATATGTAACTGATCAAACGTCCAGATTGAGATGGGTGATGTCCAAACAACAACCATAAGAGGATCAGACAAATCAATGTGGGAATCTCAATTCTAATTATAATTGTTGAACACTGAGAAGAATTTCCATTAACTTTATTGGGGTAGTTAAACAAATAATAGATTACAAAAAGGAGAACAATCCAACCTTTTCTAAGGCCAATTCAGCAGCAGACTGCTCTGCATCCTTCTTCTTTTTAAAGGTTCCAGATACGACAGTAACTTCTGGAAGTTGCAAGGTACAGCGATAAAGGCAAGGGCCCTTCTGCATAATGGCCAACCCTGGACATCCATTTTGAGGAGACTCGTGCACTTCCTCCACTTCATAGCAGGCTGTGCTACCGAACTTTTTGTGTATAATAGCCTTAGGTGTAAAGGTAGTGTTTCGCACTGCAACAGTTGCGGCTCCTTCAGTTTCCATCTGTACCCAAGAGGTCTTCAACTATAAGTTTTTATATACATTAGATAGGATGTCCTTTATGTAATTAAAAGTTACGGTTATAATCCAATAATGAAATCAGATGAAAAAACTTTTCTATCCAGCTACCAAACGACTACTACTTATGTGATTACATTGCAAGATAGCTAAACGGACAAATCTCAAGGAACAAAAACCAATGGCACATTCCATACATTGGAGTAAACAATAGGCCATAATACCCAAAAACACGACACCAGTACGAAAATAAAACATAGGCCGCAAGACAATGTCCGTATAACCACAACTTAAGATTCAATGTCTCTCGTTCGACAGTTTCTAAACAATCATCCTGAATAAATGCTTTAGATTAACCGAAAAAGAGAAGGAAAAAACCCTGTGGATATCCTCAACCCAAGTGACCAGTAGCCAAAAACAACTGGAGAAATTAAACACAAATTATACATTTGAGTAAGCATAAAAATGATAATGTCGTCATTTCGAATGACTATCATATCAAAACCAACAGATTGACAATGAAAAACAGAATGCATTATATAAAGACAATATTTGTATTAAATGGTAAAGAAAGCAAACATATTTCATCCCAAGAACATATATCAAATGAAAATAAAAATAAGAACCCAAAATTCCTAATTCTTTTCGTCAGTAAAGTCTCGAAACAACAAGACAATAAACCAACTTTTGATCCCCCAAAAGTCCATTTAATTATGATAACATTTAGTCGCTGGGTGATCATAAACGAAAGATCATAAATTCAAGATAAAAATACAAAATAAATTTAAAAAACTAAACTTTTAGCTAATAACACAGCAATGCGCTAAGTAATCGTAACAAAGGTGGCTGAAAATTACTGGGTTCCTTAGAAATTGACAAACGGAGCTAATTGAACAGAAAATTTGCACAGAAAAGTTAGGGGAATACTGGAATTTGTTGGAAAATTGGAGATAGAAAAGCAAACCCAGTTCAAAAAATCAACGGAATATTTGCAAAAAGGCATCAAAAGGTGGTGAAGATATAAAGCAATGGCAGGCAAGAGAGGGTATACGATCAAAGAAAAGAGCAAAGGCCGTACCTTTTTGCATTCACAACCGCAATGGCCGAGCCTGAGAGAGGAGGGAGAGAGGCACAGAGCAGAGAGAGAGAGTGAATAACGTGTGCGTTGGTGGGGTTTTAGTGGGCAGCAGAAACGATATAGAGAGAGAGAGAGAGGAGGGAGAGGTTTTGGAGGAAGGAAAGCAAAGAATATCAACATGAAACTTGTACATATGCTTAAACTTGGAAAAAGGATAGTCATCTCCTATGATCGTAACTGTTTATCGTATATCGTACGGTTAAAAATTATTTTAAATTTTAAAATTTAAAATTAAACATAAATAGTACCTAATAAAAATTGACTGTATAATGTATGATGAACGATCATAATCACAGAATCCTTAAAATCATCGAGAAAAAATCCAACGAGAATCCTTTCCCTTAAACTTGTACATGCGGTTGGGGTTGGGGGGACCCCGGCACTCGGTCTTCTTTTTAGTCCTTGCCTTGCTTGCTAAGGAGTAAGCCCCCTCCTTTTCCTTTCCCAAATTAAAATTTTCTTTTACACAAATTGAAATGAAACTATGAAAGCGTCTAATAAAAATTGAAATGAAACTATTGAAAATTTAAAATTAAATATAAATAGTACCTAATAAAAATTAACTATTGAAAATTTAAAATTAAATATAAATAGTACCTAATAAAAATTAACTGTATGATGTATGATGAACGATCACGATCACAGAATCCTTAAGATAATCGAGAAAAAATCCAGCGAATCATTTCCGTTAAACTTGTACTTGGGGTTGGGGGGACCCCGGCACTCGGTCTTCTTTTTAGTCCTTGCCTTGCTTACTAAGGAGTAAGCCCCCTCCTTTTCCTTTCCCAAATTAAAATTTTCTTTTACACAAATTGAAATGAAACTATGAAAGCGTCTATGAAGATATTTTTACGGTGAAGCGTCAATTTATGTTTAACAATTCCTTGTAGCTAACAAGTTAGGCCATCACCAATCGAGAGCTGGTCAAATGGTTTGTTTTAGTTCTCTGATCCTCCAAGATATTAATATTTTAATCAACAGTACAGGGTTATATTTGCCTTCGTCTCCAACCGAAGGCCAAAGGGTCATAGGGCTCGTTTTAGCTCTGTCACAAAAATCCGTCTCCAACCAAGAGCCAAACATAATTTATTATTTAAAAACTACCACTTAAATTCAAATCTAACGACCAAGTGACGTCAGCATGACGTCAACTAGCCGTTGGTAGCTGACGTTAGCTAGTCATTGAATTTGATTTTTTTTTTTTTTTGCTATAAATAGGGTGGATTTTGGGCTATAATTCAACTTTGAATTCAATCTATTTCAATTCAATCTCTTTCAATTCAAGTTTGCAATGAATTCCAACTTTGGATCATCTTTGGATTCCAACTAGGGGTCCTCATCCAATTCCAAATTGGAAGAAAAATGGGTGCAAATGAGACGAGAATATGAGGACTCTGATGAAACAAATTTTGTAAAATAGAAGTTATAGGAAGTTATAAAAAAAAATAGAAGTTATAAAAAAAAATTTGTAAAAAATAAATAAATAAATAAAACTGTAAAAAAATTCAGAAATAACGGCTAGTTGACGTCAGCTAGCTGTTGGATTCAATTTTTTCTTTAAGCAATCTTGTCGGTTATAACCGACGGGAATATATTTATATTAAATATATTAAATATAATTTTTTCGGTTATAACCGACATGATTGCTATGAATTTCTGGCCAGCCCTGGCTAGCTGCTTGTGGTTAGCCCTTTGGCCCTTTCAGATTCCGTGAGGCCCACGAGTCCTCTGGGATAGCTCTCGGTTGGAGACGATTTTTTGACTATTTTTGACATTCTGATCCTCTGAACCCTTCTGTTGAAGATGACCTTAATCAAACTTATTACAAAGATAAAAGTCGAGTTAAAATCTACTTTAACCAAGTAAAGATCGGAAATCACGATGCCAACTGGTCATGTAGCCAACTCACATTTATTATCATTGTATTTTAAATTTTAATCAATTTCCATTGAACATTGTGCCATTCCAAGTTTAATTGCTTTCCTTTATTTAGGAATTGACTTCAAAATCTTTTCAAATTTGCATTTTTCTTCTTCTTTTGTTTGAAATTGTCTTGTGTCTAAATGGTAAAACTTCAAAGCACATATTTTTGTACTTAATGTCATGCGTTCGATTTTTTACTTCCTGAAAATCGTTTGTAGTTTGATTGGCCGACGTAGATACCCAAACACAAAAGGCCCCCTTCCCTCAACCTACAAATAAAGACGCCACTTCTCCATTCTCTTGGGTACTGTTTGGCACGTGGAATGGGACGAGGCATTCCGTCCCATGTTTGATGCGTTTAAAACAGGTGGAACATATTGTTCCACGGGACGAGTTTTTGGTGAATTTTCGTTCCACCTCACCTCTCTGGAACGACTCGTTCCACATCCGTAGAACACAAAATTATAACATCTCCGTCTCCTTCTTCTTCCTCCTTTTTTTCATCCGAAGATATCTTTGCTCCCTTTCCGTTCCGTCCCGTCTGCATACCAAACGATACCTTAAGATTGTCTCGCTTTCCAACATGATATTTCAGTTCGTCATTTCTTCATCTGAATAACACTATTCGTACCACCTTTCAATTCTTCAAATTGAAAGTTTACTAACCACCTCTAACTTAAGTGGACCACACTTGTGTACATGAGACTCACTTGAATTAGAGAATCAGCAATAAAGGCGGTTCAAATAATAGTACTTTTTCTATCGATGGAATATACTCTCCCTTTCTCTCTGGCCTAAATATAAAGAGGAACACATAAGCATCATAAAAAGGGAGGCAGATTCTCTGCCCTCCCACTTTTCGTGCCCTCTTGTTTGTGTGATCACGGTTAAACCACGTCAACATTTTATATATATATAATGTTGACACAGCTTAAGCGAGACCACACAAAACAGAAGAGCATGGGACAGCACGGGAAGTGGAAGGGCAGAGAATCTGCCTCCCATAAAAAGCTGGGGGTAGATTTACAAAGAAACAAAACGCTATCAACATATAGACAAGATAAATTGTATTCGTTTAAGGCCATGAAGTTGCAACTTTGTATAGAAATTGAGTGCCACAAAATGCTTTTTCAGGTTTCCAATATTTGGACCTGCTATTATCACTACTCAGTGATGAAGTCAAACTAACTCTCGTTCTTGCCGGAGTAATAATGCTGGAAAACACAGGAGAAGTCCTCGGTTTCGTGACCATTCTCGCAGAGCTCTGTGTATCTGCACAACAAAACAGTGCATCAGCTTAAGGTGACCGAAAATAGTATATGCAGCGGAGATTGTTGTGCTTTACTAGTTATCAATTTCAGAATTTGAATTGGATGTTGACGCAAAGCTTAAATCAAGTTTCGGTTAAACTTCAAAGTAACCCAACATTAAGCATTGACAGCTTAAATCAAGTTTCGATATATGCACACAGAGATCGATGCATATGTGTTTTGTACTTCCTCGACTGTCTTCTGTTATGGTCAGCATGTCACCTTACTTCTATTATCGAGTTTAGATGGATGCTTGTTACTTCTAGACCGCTAACAGAAGGAGTGCAAGTAGTTTTCGGAGTGGGACTAGCATCGCTAACAGAAGGAGTGCAAGTAGTTTTCGGAAGAGTGGGACTAGCATTACCCTACCTTATTCATCTATGATATAATTAGATATGAAAAATATGCGAGGACACCGACGTAGGCTCAAAAAAGGCAAAGGGATTTACATCTTTTGTGCTTGGGATGTCAACGGGCATCTAACACCAACCTCTTCGGCTGATGTTGCACCAAGGTTTAGATCCTTAGCCTGCCATTTACCAAATACAATCATCAGTATCCGAACAACATATTAACATTACAGGACTCAAGATTGACCGTTAGGAAAGCATCAGCAATATGTTAAGGCCCGCAGAGACCGAAGATACTAGATGACCAAAATTTGTTGAACAGTTTATGCCTAATATTTGTTGAACAATATCAAAAATAAATTTCAGACGAACAGGATTAAACTAACTTACCATAAGTTTGGATGCAAACCCGCCATCATAGTTCCTTGAAGAGGGCACTCCTTCCATCACTCCAGGAACCGGATTATAACTATCACTGTCATGCATTCCATGTCCTAGGTGTTAAGTACTAACAAACCATTTGGAAACACATAATCTACTCAAATATAAGCCCAAACCTGAAGATATTCCCCATAAGTGTGTGCAGGTATGTGTAGTGTAGGGGCAAGATCCAATCGGCAGCGAAGCAAAAATTGCCTTAAGCTACAATGTAGAAGGTATTCCTATATTACCTACTCCAACAGCGACCACTTGAAGAGTTGAGTACTCTTGTCAGAATACTGGCGGAAAGTCCGAGAGCCTGGCCAAGAGCAAGGGATTCAGAGACACCAATCATACTAATAGACATTGCCAAATTATTGCAGATCTTTGCTGCCTACATACAAAACCATTTTAGATGTCAAACAATCTGCAACAAGTTCAGGTAGTGGCATGAAAATTCTCAAAAAGCGGAAGGAGTTGTATTTTTGGCTCGTGAAGATGTAAGAACTTACTGAACCATTTCCTGATCCACCACAATAAATCATGTTCTTGCCCATCGCAAGGAATAAGGACTTTGCTGCCAGATAAGATTCCTCAGAGCCACCCACCTGCAGACATGCTATCTTTTGATCATGACTCAGAAATTAGATATCACCAACCTAGGTACAATCCTCACCCTCTAAAATCATATATCCCGTCTTGTGCATATACTAACTAGGATGACAAGAACAACACCTAGGACATATACTAAACAGTTAATTAGAGTATCTGGGAGAATGGAAACTGAAAATCTAGATCGTAAAATCAGCTTGTTTACTTCCATAATCTGAAATTCTTCATCAACTGATATTATGATCAAAATGTCAGTCCGCATTTCCGGCCATATATCAAATCAAAGTCATACAATGAAGTACAAGTGGTATATAGTACATGAGAAATAATACTGAAGAACAACCGCCCCTTAGGAATGCATATTCTTCTCTCTTCAATATAACTCCAGCATTCAGACTTAAATTACTGACTTCGGATGCCAAAACCAGAACTATACCATGAAAGTAAGAGTCCCCGCTTCTGCAGCAAGAACACCTCCAGATACAGGGGCATCCAACATGGCAGGCTTCTTCGGATAATCTACACAATATGCAACACATTAGTCAGTAAAAAGGCAAAGTTAAATGTCCCCCATCAGCCATCTTACAAAATAAAGTCAGTAAAAAGACAAATGAAGGAAGAAACTGCATTTTTTCACAACCTCAGCCATTTGATATTTTAAATCAATATAATGGATGATTGAGCAAGCACTGACGCACAAACAAATTAAATCAGTCTGCTATTGTACCTTTTTTCTCCTTTAAAGTACAGTCAGATACAGCAATAGAAAGCTTTCTCGACGTTTGTGGATCAATAGTGGATGAATCTATTAATAACCATGGTCGTAATTCCCCTCCACGAAGTAAACCATTAGGTCCAGTATAAACATCATATACCTGCATTTGAAATAAAAAAACAGTGTCACATTTTGCTGTTCTTGTGGAACTTGAACACCTCAAATTTGCAAATTAATGAATTTTAAGCAACACTTGAAATGTAACTTCCCATAAGTAGAGTTTAACGAATGAATGAGTTAAGGCACTCACGTGAGATGAGGAAGGCAGCATTGTGATTACAACATCACTAGCTTCAGCAACTTTTAAAGGTGTTTCTTTGGTTGCAGCTCCCATGTCAGAGAACTTCGTCACAGCATTGCTGTTTCTGAACAATAAAAACAATAACACATAGACATTATAAACCGCCATAGAACACATGGTGATCCCGCCTTATCCTAAGTATGACGGGGATAGTTAAACCTTGAGATTAATCAGTACAAAACGTAGCTGACTGAATGTGATCCAAACAAACAGTTTGTAGAAAAGATATAAATACATTACATGTCATGAACAGCGACTCGGTATCCAGCCCTAATTAGATTATTTGCCATCCTTGATCCCATATTTCCCAGCCCTATAAACCCAACACTCTGCAATCCATTCAGATAATGTTACAAATATACAGCACCCAAAAAATCTACTTAAACAGTAGCATTCTCCATATAATTACTCTGTTCTCAAAGAACTGATATATAAATATTTCATAAAACAATCTTATGCTTGGAGTCTGTTTCAGTAAAAGCGCTGCTGTCAGTCAAAATCACTTCCCAAAGAAGCACCTGCCAGATGTTTCTTCAAGAAGTGCTTTTCCAGGAAGCACTTGAATTTTCAATAAAAACCTCAACGTGTTCATAGTCAAAAGACTTCTAACAAAAGCACTTTCGAACATAAGTGCAATCCCAAACGAGCAAATCAATTTTCCCACATACCCAGATGAGAATTAGCATGAAATAACTCAGAGCAACCAGAATTAGCATCAAAATCAGAGCTTTACCTCAAAACCGGACGAGACTTGCTCTGAATAAAATCTGCGTGTTGAAGATGGCAGAAGAGAAAGTGGGTCGATTGAGGAAATGCATTTGGAAAGATGATTCAGTGATCTCACCCTACAGAAAATTGCCATGCTCTCTCTCTCTCTCTCTCTAGAGGCAAAGTTCAAATAATGGCAGTGCTAATTTACAGAAGAAAAACAGGAAATCATTGTCTCCAATCTATCATTTGGTTGTCTTATCTTAAAGTCCACGTCATTGTATTTGTATTTCATGTTACATCTTTATCTATTTGGCTTTTTTGTCCAACAAATTATTCCCTCACTTGGAATTAAAAGATGAGCACTTTGTTGCGGGATAGTTGGTTATAATAGCGTTTTCCGTGAGGGGTTTTATATAGAGCTGAAAAAGTGATGGATATAGTCTATTTTAGTGCTCTGAAGAATTGTTGGTGCTTTATAAAAGAATCTCTCATAATGAGATGCAGGCTCTATATGGAGCTATATATATTTATTTATGTAGTAATTTGATTAAGCGATGATTTTTTTTTTTTTTGTGTTTAGCTTTTCTTAATTTGGGGTGTGATATCCACATACTTCATTTTACTTCTCACATATTTTTTTAATTTTCGGCCGTCGGATCGGATGAATTGAAGAAGATCAACAGATAAAAATTATCAAGGGGTGTGTAAGAAGTAAAATGGGATGTGTGGATAGCACACCCCTAATTTTATTTTTGGACGTGCTGTCTTATTATATTTTTTTATGAACCCTTCAACCTAAAAAGTTCAAATTGTAACAAAGTTAGATTTCATCACTTAAGAATCGTTCGTTGGTTTAGATTCTTTTATCTCAAACTCATCCATTGAAAGAAACAAACACACACTTCGCCTTTTGAAATAATTTGATTTTTACGTATAACACAACAATTTACCTAGTACCAATTGGTAAATTAGTGGCATACAATTTTGAAAAAATTATTTGAAAATTTCATCCATCAATGCCCATGAACGTTAAATCAATTTGAAATTTTAATTCTTATGGAATATAAAAAAAATCATTGATTAGCCAAATTGTAAGAAAAATAAGAAAAGAAGTTGCTAACCCCAATGGTATATCTAACCCTATTTTCCGGCTCATTGGAGATGAAATTTCTCGCTAAGGCTGAAAATGTGATAGCCTCATGAAGGATAAAGCTCCCTTTGGGGATGCTCTTAGGACCGTATGATCTTTATTTTAAACAGTTTTTCGTGATTTAGAATAGAACATCGCTCAGAATTGTTACAATTTTTCAGAAATACGAGCTGCCCCTTCAAATAGGTTAGTTGGCAGTAAAGCGTTCCACCTCTTGCACCGAAATTTAAATTCCTCTCCAATTCGATTTGAGTAGTTTAGAATATCGTATTCTTAATAAACGATGTTAATAACATAGGGCAAGGTACGTAAACTTGGAAACGGCCGGCGCGGATCGTCATGAAACGACACAAAGCTAAACAAAAAACATTGCATCCCTTGAAATCTAGTCCATTTCCAATTCTCCACAATGGTTAATTCAATCAGCTGATCACACTAGAAAAACCAAACCAGATACAAAAAGGGAGCCCAATGAGATATTAAAACTTCCCTCCTACAGAAAAGGAATAACTTAAAACTATATGGAGGAGAGATCCTCATATATGTTCTTAATACCTGGCCTCTCCCCAACACTTCTTAGACATCGTAACGCTATTCCAAGGACCTCCTTCGTTCCCTTCTCCGCTGCTGGCATTCCCATTTCCGGCACCAATGCAGCGTCAAAACATTCAGAGCCGCGCCCTTCTGCCACCCTCAGCCGAACCCAATCTGTCAAATCAACCCCACTTCCTTCACCTGAAATCACATCGCCCGCGCACCTTCCAGTTAGGAGTTCCAGCATTATCACTCCAAAGGCGTAAATATCTGACTTGAAGGAGGGAAGAGGCTTCTTGGAAGCAGCCAACTCTGGTGCACGGTAACCCAACACACCAGCATCAAGAATCTGTTCGATGGTGCCAGCTTGTGTCATGAGGCGGTGTAGGCAGTAATCAGCAACACGGGCATTCAGGTCTGGCCCGTCCAACAAAATATTTGATGCTTTGAGGTTACCGTGTGGAACAGCACGGTCAAAATGGAGATAGTTCAGGCCACGTGCGACGTCAACTGCAATTTTGAGCCTTTGGGCCCAGGTCAATGGTGGACCTTTTCTTCCTGGCCGATCTGAAATAATTTAGGCTCATCAGAAATGCCAATGGAAGGTTACCTAAATACAAATACGCGCACAGATAGGATACATATATGCACACGCACACATGTACATGCAGAGAGAAAGAGATCGGTGAAGTAGCAAGAACAATTTTTCTTCAAAAATCAAGAGAGAAGTGGGCTAAAGATACAAGTCATGCATTCTATAGCAAAAGAAACTGTTTGATCAACGCAAGATAAATAGGTCGAAGAGGCTAACAAAAAACAGCTTACCATAAAGGAAGCTTGCAAGACTTCCCGGTGAGATATAATCGGAGAGAATGAGCTTCTCATGCTGTGTGGGACCCCAATAGTACCCTCTCAAACCTACAACATTTGGATGCCTCATGTTCGCGAACTTTTTAGCCTCCTTGGCAAACTCCTTTTTCTGTTTCGCCACCCCTTCTCTCAACCACTTAACCGTCAAGAACAACCCATTATCAAGTGTTGCCCTGTAAGAAGTCCCATGGCTACTTCTTCCTAGAACTTCAGCAGGAGCCCTTGACAGCTCCTCCGGGGTTAATGCAATTGTATCATCAAGAAAATGCAGCTCCCCAAACAATTTATCCGGTGACCTCACGTCCAGTCTTGCAAGGTTTTCAGTAGTGACCGACTCTCCAGAGTCTGGCGACCAAGAGAAATGGTTGTGCTTTGAAGGGGAGAAACCAGCTACAGCTGCAACCTTTTTATCGGGGCTGACAGTTTCGGATGATGATCCTTTTTGTGAAGCCATGAGATCCTCAGCTGAAACAACCAAAGCACCACCCGTGCCTGTTCCACGATCACCAGATTGGTTTGGTTGAGTGCGCCTGTGGATGTCTTTTTTGCTTGTGGTATGCTCTGATGGGATTCTTCTTGACATACGGATGTAGTGTACGAAGATAGCAAGCAGAAGAAGAATGAAGACAGCAACCACACATGAAACTATAATGATTACTTTGACCATTGCACTGATTGGTCTCCTCTTTGAATTTTCATTTCCAGAACTGTTTGATCCCGGAGGACCATTTGGAAAAAGCAAACGTGCATTCCCTGGATAGAAGGAAGATTTTGGAAACTTTCTCAGATTTTCTGGGACATCCCCGGAAAGATCATTGTATGAAGCATTAAAGCTTTCAAGACTAGTAGGCAAGTTGTTTGGCAAAGGACCTGTAAAATGATTCTGGGATATGTCTAAAGAGCTTAAAGTGCTGATGTTGGTGAAGGAAGTTGGAAGAGAGCCAGAAAAATTATTTCTAGCAATATTGAACATTTTAAGCCCCTTCAATGAACCAAAATGATCAGGAAAATAGCCACTAAGATGGTTCTGGGAAAGATCAACAACTTGAAGATTTGACTCACTGGGCAAAGGAGATGAGATGTTAATCGAGCCGGTGAGTAAATTATCACGAAGGTGCAGTTCTTGCAAAGTGGGCATTGTTAGCAATTCAGCTAGAACCGTTCCATTGAGCTGATTGGAACTGAGATCAAAGACGCTAATCTTTGGATATTGTGTTATAACACTTGCTATAGAACTACTAAGAGTGTTATGGGAGAGGTTAAGATAATTTAAACGCAAAAACTGTGGGGTTACATCAGGGATGGGTCCTGCCAAATGATTTTGACTCAGATCGAGATATTCGATGTTCCCCCATTTCACCATCCTGGTTAAGTTTCCTTCGAATTTGTTATTCGATAGATCAAGCACGGCACAACTTCCGGTCAGCAATGGTAACTCACCAGTAAGCCCATTTGAGGACAGATTGAGGAAGCACAGATTGGTCGATGTGATCATATCTATTGGTCCTGAGAGATGAACTTCAATGTGAGAGGCATGCTAAAACACACTAAGCATAAATGAGTAAAGTAGAACAACACAAAAGGACGCATTTGCAAGTGAATGTAAACGAAGGCAAAAGGAAGTACATATTAGTACCTGTGAGATTGTTGCCACTCAAATCTAGTTCAGTTACGACAAGAGAATCTCCTTTTAACAGACCATTAGGAATATCTCCGGTAAATCTGTTGTTGCTGAGTTTGAGGACTTGGAGATCATAGGCAAAATTAAAGCCAGGCAATTCCCCTGACAGCTGGTTGTAGCTGAGATCCAACACCTTCAGGTTTTCAAACATCTGTAGCTCACCACCGCTTACCAGTGACCCAGTGAGCTGGTTGTGGCTAAGATTCAAGTACTTAATAGTCTCAGAAAGGCGGGGTAGAAACTTCTGCTGTTGTGAACTGGAACTCACAAACATATTGCCACTCAAATCAACATGAGTGACCTCAGATAGCATCAAAAATTCCGGATCGATATGCCCATCGAGCATGTTCCCATGCAAGTCAAGCACATCGAGACTTGAAATTAACTCAAACCCCTTGGGTATTTTCTTGGTAAAGCCATTTAAAGACAAATTTAGATGTACCAGTTTAGGCAGCTCTGTCAATGATGCCGGCAGGGGCCCGGACAAGGAGTTTCGACTCAAGTCCAATAACTGGACTGAGGAAAGCCCTGAAATTGAATCTGGAATAGAACCGGAGAAGTTGTTGCCACCTAGTGAGAGATTCCTTAAGCTCCCTAACCTACCAATCCCAGGTAGTAAAGGTGAAGAAAATAAATTGTTGGACAGGTCAAGGAACTCAAGGCTTTTGAAGTCAGCTATGTTGTCGGGAAACTTCCCCATTATCGAGTTGTTGGCCATGGAAAGTCTCACAAGCTTCGTTAGATTCGCAAACACACTCAAGTCCACATCCGCAGAGAGACTCAAGTTATCAAGGACAACCCCAGCAACATTTCCGCCATTACACACAACACCGTTCCAAGAAGATGGGCAGCCATCAAAGTCAATGGACTCATCATTCCAAGAATTAAGGACATAGCCAGTGGGGTCATGCTTGACACCCTTCTTGAACTCGAGCAGCGCCAAAATATCCTGCGAAGGGAGCTGCCCCATGGCAGAAATAAACAGAAGGGACACCACAAAAAGCCGACGGAGCATACTTGCCCTATATTAATGGCTTCACCCAGTTGAAATAAAAGCTCAATGTTAGAACAAGCAGTAAACTTTACGCCTCTACAACCAACAAATTCAAGCAGGAAGACCAAACCAATATTCCAACACCAACTACAGCACAACACAGGACCCTCACTTTCGATTTCGAATATAACGAGAAATAGCTATCAATGTTGGGAAGAAGTGGAGGGCTTTTGAGCTCTCAAATCCACAGAGTGATAGAAACTCAACTAATATTCGGACTTGTTCCAACCACAGTTGGAATCAAACATGCATCCAGAACCCCCCTTTTTTCCCTAACAAAAAGGCCAAACCTTTGAACTTTGAAGAACTTCAAAGGACCAGATTCTCCTCCTCAAAGGACAACACAAGTCATTTTACCAACTTCATACTACACAGCTCAAAGCAGTAAATCACACAAATAAGCAGCAAAAACTGTCACTATTAGAGACCTAACAAATTTTACTACCAAAAGATTCCATTTTTAGCAACAATGTGGCTCTGTAAAAACTATCCCAATACAAAGATTCAATCTTTGAAGCAAAACCCAGAATTTGAAACTGCTGAAAAATTACAAATGGGACTGTAAAGGCATTACCTTTTCCACATTGCTTCTTCACAAAGCTCACAGAACAACCAGCTACAGAAAACCCATGAACAAAAACTAGAAGTGGGTCTTCAAATTTACAAGCCAAACTGATCAAGGGACCCAGAAGAAATTTAACCAGAAACAAAAAACCCCTAAAAGAAAAGTACTTTCGGGCCTTTCTCTAGTTATTAACAGTCCAAAAACCTTTGCTCTTTCTTTAATGAAAGTAAATACAAAAAATCTCAGAAAGGCAGTGTCTTTAAGAGGGGCATGTGGAGGCACCAAAGAAAAAGCCAAAGGGGTTCTGTGGCATTAGGGTATTAAACAAAAACCCTAACAACCCTAGCTTTTGTGCCTTTGGGGGATTAACGTCTTTTAATGGTGGAATTGGGAAAGTAAGCGGGAAAATGTGGGGTTTTTTGGGAGTAATATTTAGGGGATTACCCGCCAAAAGAGGGGACAGAATCTCTTTCACTTTCCTTGTGGACGTCAAAGAATTTATTAAATCCAGTTTAAAATTTTGGGGTTTCACTTTTTGGGGGACTTAAAAGATAATTGCATGGAGGATTGTGAGGTCAGTGCCAAGTAGGACTGATGTGGGCTCCACCCCCACCACCGCCCCTTTAACCAGGTGCTTTCACTCCTTTGAAGGGAAAATGATCATCGCCGATTTTTTTTCTAAGAATTTCATGATTTTACTTATTTATCATGGTTAAAAATTATTTTAAAATTTAAAATTAAATATAAATAATATTTAATAAAAACTAACAGTACAATATACGATGAACGGATAAAATCACGTATCTATAATCCGCCGGATCCTTTTCCCCTTTCAAGTTCCAATAGGGCCAAAGAGGTGGAGTAGGTGTATACATAATGATATGGTGTGACAGTAAGACCCACAAGCAAACCAGCAGGACCATTGTGATAATGACACGTGGGAAAGTACACTCAAACATGAGAGATCTTCCTATTCGACGGCCGAGATATATTTACAGACCACGGCGGTATTCCAATTTTTAATCAACCACACAAAGCTATGCACCACATGACCTGCCTGATAGACGTGGAATATTGACATCCTTAACGTCTCGGCTGTACGTAACTCTTTCCTGACAATCATGCTACAATGCAATCTTACTAAACGTATATTATAACACGTGTATGCATATATTGGTATTATATGCTAAGTTAGAATCCAATTATATATTGTAAATTTATCTTATAACACGTAGATTAAAAACAATGCAAGACGACACACCAAAGCATTTGTCCACTTTGACCAAAGTAAGAATAAATAAAAATAAAAGATTTGTCGAGGGATATAAATTGACATTACGTGAAATCCAGAGTCCCCATCTTGTGAGTCCCAAATCGAGAAGAGATTTTTTAGTGTGACCGGCATACGAGATGGTACATCATGTGTCATTACATAAATAGTAGGATATGTGTGTTACAAATTAATAACTTAAAAAATAAAAATTTCGACCACTTAGATAAAAACACGTAATGTACCAGTCATGTTTCCGTCACAATTAGAGAGGTTACATGACTTGTTGGTTTTGAGATCTGGAGGACCACAGATAATTGCAACTACAAAACAGCGGATGGAATGGATGGGGACAAAGGTGGTCCAAGCCTGAGGATTGCATTTATACATTGTCCTCTGTCCTCTGTCCTCTATCTTCTGTCCTCTCTGGTTGGGTGTTTTGGATAAAAGTATAAAACCAACTAATGTTAGAGAATAGTAGGATTTACAAATGAAACTTATTGTGTTTTCTTCACTCTTGATATCAAATTATATGAAAAGTAAATAATAATCGTCTTTCAATTAATCTAACTTCCTCTGTTCCGTTGGACCAACAAGGAAGTAATACATGGATGTTCACATGTTATCTCCATTGACTACGCCTTTCGACCTGATCTTAGGTCTTGACTCACCATTCGTAAGTGAACATTGCATTCATTAGTCAGCTGATGACCAAGATTTCAAATCCCTTACTAAGTAAAACTCTTAGGTCATGTTTGGTGACATAGGACTAGATTGGATAAGGGAGCATAATTAGGTTGCATTGGATTACATTTATTTAGTTTTTTATTTTATGTTTTTGTTTGATGGGTTGCATTGGATGGCATTGGAGGGGAGAATGGAGAGGGTAACATTAACTATCCCGGGTTTTGGGTCTTGGGTCTTGGGTCATGGGGTCGGAGTGGGTACGAGGGATCAGGTCGTATCCAATTCAAATTCACATGCGACTTAGTACTACGGAATAATGGTATTTTTCTTCACTTATAAGTGATAGGTCTTATGTTCAATTCATATCAAAGGCGAATTTGAACCACATTATTGCTAGTCCATTGTGAGGCTCTAAGTCCATCCCTTCACCTTAGTGTAGATAATCACTTGTTAAAAAAAAAAAACAAAAAATTCAAATTCAGATTTTTCTATAATATTTTTACTATAAGGAGAGAGGAGAATTCGAAATTGTTATAATAATTTACGAGAGGGAGCGGGAGTTTGGAACCCAAAGCGCACGAGTAAACACCTAATACTATATCTATTAGAATATTGAATCATATCCGGATTCAAATTTACATTTGATCACCAAAGATAGGATTAGATTAAGCCAATACAATTAACTACTAATTCGAACGAGACCTTAGATTAACACGAATGGCCAAAGAAGAACCCTTTACCAAAAGGGCGAATAAGGAGCAGAAGAAGCCCAAATGGGATAGTATTGTGAGGAGCCACAAAAATCCACTGGCTAAAGTGTTTGGAAAGCTCAGTGCTCAACTAAAAACCTTACTTTTTTATGTTGGAGTTGGAGACTCGGGAGTGGTAAGTTAGGAACCATCACCTCCTTTCTATGGTAGCAACTTTAACATTTTGAATTTAATTATTTTATTACTTTAGTCTAAAGAAGGCTTTTCAATTGCACTGTACAAATGAATAGTCTTTGGAATCGAATTTCACTTTATTTACGAGGCTGCCATTGAGTCTCTCTGCCGCTCATTTTCATGCCGGTGTTGATGATCGTGGAAAGGCAGGGGTGCGATGGTCATTGTAGTCTGTAGGGTTTCGAACGGGTTGGGTGGGTTAAGAGACTTTCATTTCCTTTCTTTGTGAGCTGCAGTGGTGCCGTCGGGAGAGAGAGCGAGCGAGCAGAGAGAGAATAGAGACAGGGAGGGAGAGAGAGAGATTTGGTGAGAGGAAGGCATGCGGCTTGCAGGCAGACAGAGTCACAGGGGGTGTACGATTGGAGGGAGAGAAAGGGGTTGGTTTCGAAAGCTCTACCTAGGGTTGTTCCTGCAAGATTTCAACAGCGTTTTCCCTCTTCTCCACTATTTTCCTTCATTCCCTTTTCTCTGAACCAGAAACCTAGATTCCTCTTCTCGAGTCCCTCCCAGTGTGGAACCCCCGCCACCACCAGGTGCCACAGCTGCGTCAAAGGTTTGCGTGTTGAATTTCACATCAACGGCATCTCCCTATAACCTAGGAGCTTGGTTCCGATCGGGCGATTCCGGAGGACCTGCCATCGAGGTTAGTCTGAAGCGATTCCTATCTTATTGGCTTATTGCATGTCAAAATCTGCTTCAAATTTGTGATTTAATATAACTGGGCTTTAGAAATTTTTTTTATGATTTTGTCTAATCCAATTGAATGATTAGAAAAATTTTCATTAAATTTCTGGGTTCCTGGGGGGTTCTGAATCGTGATGTTGAGAGAGCTTGGTTGCTTTAATTGCTAATGAAATTAGCTTCTAAACGTTCATAATTTGCCTTTTTATGTTCATTCTATATTTTCTTTGAGTTCAGATATATTTGTGTTTTTTTTTTTGGTGATATATTGCCGATGCCAAAATATCATATTTACAAGGACGAAGATAGCAAGGTTCTAAATCAAAATTTTATCCTGGTTCTGCTGCTGGGTTCACTATTAGTAAAAGGCACATGAAATATGGTATTGATTTCAGAGCCTTTGATTTCTCAGAATGTCATCTGAATTTAGTTGTAGTTAATTTGTCAAAGTTTGTTGTTGTTTAGCTTTTTCAAATGGCAGCCTTAGTATTTGCCCAGTATTTTTTGTGAATTCCAAACTTTGCTTATAATTGTAGGTATGCAAAAGCTGCCAATTGGATTTGTTCCCCGGATGATAATGGCATACTAATGTAATGGTTGTTCTTTTGCTTTGATGTACGAGTAAGAAGATTGTTTTGCCCCTTATGTATCCTGCTTCTTTCTGTTCCACGAAGTTGCCAAGAAAAAAAGTACTTTGTGATCGTTTTATGGTGATGTGTAGATACAATTTGTCTTTTTTTTCTTTGTATTAGCAACCTATTACCCCTTCATGAGCACGTTCAGTTAAGAAACTTTTGATTTTTCTTCTGTTTAATTCTCATCTGATAGGTTCAATATTAATAGAGTCCAATTAACATCCATATTGGAATGACAATCGAGAAATACAATGACATACTTCTAATTCCATCCTCATTAAGTGTCTTGGTAACAATCAAGAATTGAATGACATGTTTCTCATTGTTTGTTTCTGTTACAGATCTATAGAGGATGATGAAAGCTTTTCGTCATTGATCTTTGGAGAAACAGAGGCATGCATATAAAAGATGTAATTACCTAGAACCTTTGTTTCAGTTGAAGCATGTCATCAAAGAGAGTGGTCAATTAACAGTTGCCAATTGTTATTAGGTCTTAAATATAATTTTAGCTTTCATTTTTTTTTTATAAATTAAAATTTTTTACGGAGTTTTATTTTTATGTAGATGGGTGAAATATATATATATATATATATATATTGTAATATTACTTTGATTTGCAGATATGCCATTGCAGCAATAGTACATATATTTTCAATTTAAACAACATCCTATATATTTTCATACTGCATGTCGTCTGGGTAACCTCAAACAGATATGTCAAACATTTTTTTTCTAATTTGTTGTAGTGTTTCCATTTTTTGGTGCAGAGCTCCACGATTGGCTAACATGAATCTTGGTATCTTCATATGCATGCAATGTTCAGGGATCCACAGTAGTCTTGGGGTACATATATCAAAGGTATAATTTTCGGTTATGCAAAAACTTCAAATTCCTTTTTTTATTTGTATGGTACTCAATTCCATATTTTATGCGTTATGCTAATGAGTTTCGGTTCTATTTTTCCCTGCATTATTCTGATGATTTGGATGCTTTTGTAGGTGAGATCTGCCACTTTGGATACATGGCTCCCAGAGCAGGTTGCATATATCCAATGTAAGTACCAATGCTGTTTTACCGGCTTCTTTCCATTTTGGTAGTAAGGTCATATCTCTGTCAAGCAAGGTTGCACTGAGAGTGAGAACACCGAGGGCACACTCTCTTGCCCTCACTGACCCACATTAAAAAAGAGGCACATTATGTTTGCACCCTATTTTTGCATATCTCTGTAAATTTAGCTATTTTTTATCCGGTTTTTTTGTTTGTTTGTTTGTTAAGCTTTCATCTTGCTGTTAATTTAGGCGTTTTCTATCTGTGTTGGTCCATCTGCTTATACCTTTCAAATGTTGGTTCATCCTATGTTACTTATGAAATGATATGGATTTCCTTATCAATTATCGGGTTTAGACTTCTGAATCTATGGATTTCCTTATCAATTATCGTTTCAAAGGGTGAAAACGAGTGAGGAATGACATGGGAAGAGGGGAGAAAGAGGACAAAAGAATGGTTTCTGCTACTTTCAATGCTTTGGGTTAAAAAAATAAAAAGGTTGATTTCACTCACTTTGATTGAACTTTTTGTTTCTTAAGTTTCTCTTGCTATATCTATAGTGTGTATATTTCTTATTTATGTGTTTCTGATTCTGAGATTGTCTCTTTTACAGAGTATGCGGTGTGGAAGCACACCAGCGAGGCCTTACTTACGATGTCGAACTCAAATGTGGCTGTAATCTAACCCCTCAAATTCCAACATAGCATGTAGGAATGCTAACGTTTCCTGTGTGATCTTCATACAAAGGTACAAAGAACTATGTTTAGTTTAATGGCTTTTTATAAATTTTAGCCAAGTCCCCACATGAGGTTGATGTTATAAATTTTTGGACTCCATTCTTAGAAAATTTTGGCATTTTCATCAAATGAGGTTCTTTCTGTTTTGGACTGTGTGGGTTAGAAGTATTAAGACACTAACGCTTGAGTGTTTGAAAATTAGGTGCAAGACATATGAGCTTTTAATCAAGAAGGACATGATACGACTACTGTATTATTTTACTTATTGTATAGTGCTTCAGAGAGAAGAGTAGAGACAATTAGTTCTCATTAGAGTAAGACTCTGTCACCGATTCAATGGATCATGTACAATTCTTTCAGTCTGTTTAACTATTCATATTCTTTTTCCTTTTGATTACACAATTATAGATTCAATATGATGTCATGTACTAAATTTATAAGACCTATGACTTATCATTTCCAGAATAATGTGATTTCACTCAATTAGACCAAATTGATTTGTTGTTTCCCAATTTGAAGTTGAGGAGTCAGATTGGTGGGAAGCAAATAAGAGGCACGTCGTCCTCTAATTGGGTTGTTGTCTTCTTTCTCCACTTCTGAATTTTTCGGGTCGAAGGAGTCATCTACTTCTTCTGGGATTTTCAGGGCCATATTTTTTTTTATTTATTTTTCTTAAGTTTGTGATGGATTTTTCTTATGTCCAACTACAGGTAATCTAGCGCACTCAATTTTTCATGTGCCTTCAATTTCAGTTTTTCCTGAGTCTGAAATTATTGTCCTAAACTTTCTAAGCTTCTCCTCTTTTTGAGTTCCCGTATTGGGAAGATCGTCTCTGTACAAATCCCACGTGAATGTATTGTTACGTATTCGTCGAACATAACTCAACATTCTCCCTTTTTTAATTTTTTTTTAAATATTTGCTTTAGCTTTATTTGAGAAATCATTGTTGTGTACTATAGTTGATGGAATTGATCTGTCTGGTTCTGTGCAGGTTCTCATTTGTAGATCGATTGGTAGGCCTTTGTATCCAACTATTTTTAGCGGCTTCTACCATGAAACTCAGATACTCTCTTGGGTACGTTCCATATGAGTTTCAACGGCATATATGTATGTGGCTTTAGATTTGTTAGTTCAATAAATTGTAAGCCTTCATTTTAAAATCACTTTAGTCTAAAAAGAGTGAGAAATGAAGTTGGTCATATAGTATGTGTCGTAGTGTCATAAAAATCTGCCACAATAGTGATACTGAGTAAATATTATATTTATGAAACAATGCGGGATTTGTTGGATTTCTTTTCTTTTTTGTTTAGTGTGGATTCTCTTAGTCTTCTTTTGTAATTTTTGGTGCTTTGACAGACCATATGTGAACTGCATGCCGCTTATGTTTCTTATATGCAAACAGACTATTTTTTTGAGATTACAACTTTTGTGAATAAAAACTTTTAAGTTCATCCTTTTGATTGTAAAGCGGCTCATGATGTCAGATGAATTGAATATAAGTGAAAATCAAACTTCTTTGATTCGTTCACCCATCTCTTGGTTATTTAAATTCTTTATAGATGCCTATATTGATTTGTGATTTTATTGGATTTACTCTGGTGAAATGTGTGTTATCTGCATTGTATTGATTAGCATTTGTTTTCTTATAATTTGGAGTGTGAACTATGAGTTACTTTACAGTGGTCTGTCTCATTGAGTTGCAGTTTCTTCCTTATGCACACGAGGTAATTCCACGAGGTTATTCTGAGCAGAGAGTACTCAAGGAGGGCATGTTTGAGGACCTGAGCTTGGCCAACAAGCAGCTCCGGTTTGTTTTGAGATTTTTAATGGTGTGCTTTCTCTTGAATCGGCGAGAGATGGTCTGGCAGCTGCTCAATCAGCTCAGAGTCTTGGTTGATGAGTGCAAGAGGACCTTCCAGGTTTGTGATTTTCCATTGTTTTGTTATTAGGGTGCTTTGATTTGTTAGAAAACATAAGTTCAGTGTTCACGTTCTTGCTTTGTGTATTTTTAATCTTTTCTGACTACTATGTTCTGATTCATTATCATGTTAGTTAACTCTATGTACTTTTGTGCAGCCATGGGTAATGAAAAGGGAAACAGTTATTGGAAAAAAGAATTGCCACCAAATTTTGACAGAAGTGGGACAGAGGAATTTATTCGTGCCAAGTAAGTTATTTTCTAAAATTAATTATGAGCTTTATGTAGAACATGGAGAATGTTCAGTTATTATTTCCTTCCGCTCTTTTAACTCTCTTGGGAACTTTCAGATATGAGGGAAAACTGTGGGTTGCGAAGAATGCAAAGCAACCAGTTCCTCTCTTAATTCTGATTTGTGAAGGAGCCCGTGCTTTTCCTCAAATCGACGTTGTCTTACTTGATAAACGGCGGCACGATCGAAGTCCCTCACCCTCTGTTATCGTTGGACCATGAGGTGGCGGTGATCATCTCTCAGAAAGCTCGCAATGTTCCGCAATCCACCGCCATGGATTACGTTGCGGGTAAATTTGTAATTTTTGTTACTGTTATTTGTTAATTAATCACTTTTTATTTTATTTTTTGAAGGTCAGTTAATTAATCGGTTAATAGTGTTGCTGTTAATGATTTAGTTTTATTAATCAGTTAATAATGCTGCTGCTAATTATTTAGTTTAATATAATGATGCTGTTAATGATTTGGTTTTAAGTTTAAATCTGATTAGCGAAAATCGGATGGTGTAAGGTTATGCACTTGCTTTGGATATGACTGCCAGAGAAATTCAAGCTTCTGCTAAGGTAATTATCGATAATCGGATTGTTTTGATGCGATCAAACACGGTAGTGAAATGTTCAATTTTATGGCTACAAATTTCTAATTAGAATGCTAATGCTGCAGTTCATGATAATCATATGTTCTGATTTAAACAGTTACTGCAAATGTATTGTTGCTTTGTGATGAATGAGTTATCGTTTGCATATAAGAATCTTCGTTTCTCGATACTAAGTCTAAAATAGAGATTTCAGAGCAAAACATTCATCCAGTATAAGTGAGTTGTGATTTTGCAGTTTATTTATGTTTCCAGATAAAATCTACAGAGATTAGAAAGAGAAAAAGGGCAAAGGAAAGCTACGGTGACTCTCGGAAGATGGTTCAAGTCTCTGTTGGAGGTACATTGGATTTATGTTTATTATGTGTTTAGTACATTGTTTGGACTAAAGATTTGGATTGAACTCAATGTTGTCCGTGTATATAAATATACGTGCGTAAATATATTTTTGTGTGAATATATGTGTGCATATAGATTTATACGTTGTTAGGGCTAATAATGTTTGTGCTGTTGGGATTTTCGATTGGGATTGGGAGCTAACAAGGACTAGGGATGTTGGATAGCATCTTAATTTACATGGGAGTTTATCTTTTCTTCTCTGTGAATCAGGATTGACAATTTCATTTTGCACAGGCCATACCGATTAAAGATGCCATGGTGTTGTCAAAGATAAACCTGACATATAAAGTTGGATATTTCAAAGTTGCATGTTTTCTGTTTAGCCATTTTGTTTTTCCTACTTCTTCAGTTTCAATTCTTACTTTCGACTACTACTTTTAAGATGTTTTGGCTAGACTTTTGGATGAGGCCACAGTCCTGCAAATATATAATTTTCTCTTCTTTTAAGTAAGATATTGATTTTTTTTGTCATTCATCGCTTTGAAGAATGCATTTGATCTGCTTGAGCATAATATTCTGATCTCAAACCACTTTCACAAAGCTGATTTATTATCTACACGTGTGCTATTTTCATTTCAAATTGTGACTGCTATTTTGCTTTTCCCATTCTCATATTCCTAACAAGTGACCTCTGAAATTTATTGCCTGTATCTTTTCAAAGCGCTTCAGGTATAAATTCACCTCACACTTCCTTGACAGGGGAGAATCAGACCATTGAGTGGGCTATACAACTAACAGTTGCTCTGAACATTGCCAAAGCATTAGATCACTGCAGCAGCGAATGCCGCCCATTGTACCATGACTTAAATGCATACATGGATCACTTTGATAAGGTGTTGTCTCAAATTTCCTTTCCCAAATGATAATTAATAAAATAGAACACCAATTAAGTCTTTGAAAAACAAATTTCTTTGTCTATGTTGCTCAGTATTTGGAGCTTGCAACTTTCATTGGTTATTATATTTGATTGAGTTAAAGTTGGATTTCTGGATTTTGACTTTTCCATTTGTTTCTCTGTTACAGAGTTGGCTTCATTTCAGTCCAGTAACTCTCTAAATAGGTCCAATAACTCACTAAATAGGCAAGTCGAGAAGAATTCAGCGTTGCACGCCTTTTTTGGTATGCTGTTTAAATCTGTCTGTCATTTTATTCATTCTTCATGTTTAACTTTGTTCTGCAGGCTTCCTATGGCTAACTTAAGCATTTAAGTTATTCATTTGTTAAAGATGTTAGCTATTTTGGAACAGTTTGAAAGTTAATGCATGACTCGATGATGACTTTTAGCTTGCCCCACTTATCTTTCACGCTCTCACTTCATTCATGTGCTGAGTCATGGTTTAACTGTCTAAATTCAAGAACTAAAAATGACCAGCAGGCTAAAAAGTGATTAGATTTTGAGATGCATATTTTGGTTTCTCATTATTTCTTTGTTTTGTAATTTTCATTTATTAATGTTCTTTTGGCAGCTTATTTGATTGTATTTGTGGTTTCCTGGGGACGAACAAATCCTCTCCTTAAACGTTGATTCTCAGACGAATCACATTTCTGATGACCTCTGGGAGAGAATGATTAGTTGGAGGTTTAAGCTTTTGATAAGATACAAATTGAAACATTAATTTGTGTTTGTGTGTTTATCTCTATATATATACATATGTGTAATCATTTGCTGCTCTACTTAATCATCATATTTTTTATTTGGGTTTCTGAAGTTCCGGGACGAGTTCACCGCGACCAAAATTGATGCCTTACTTCGATTCCAAACTCTCCAAAGCCGCCTTCTTTATAGATCATCAAAGCAGTGCTGAAATTCTGAGAAGGTATATTTAGAAACAACTAGAAAATAAGCCCGCGCGTTGCGGCGGGAACCACTGTTTCAACGTAACTACATGAATAAAACACATTAAACTTGAATAAATTCAACACAATCATAAATGAACAAAGGGGCACATAAGTGAATGAGGTTGATAAGATAAGCAACTTGACTTTTATATACATTCAACTAAGCTAACATGTAAAGACATTGCACAATTAGTAGGAAGAAACTGAGTTAAGACTTGCTAATCCATCACCTTGTCTTACAGAAACCCACTTAATACTCTCATAACCAGTTTGCTTGTACACCGCAAAGTCCATCAGTTGTTCGCATAAAGAGGTATGCAGAGGAGAAATACAATAACTATTGATGCCACTTTAGTGGGAAAAAGAAAAGCATGATGCAAAAACATATATGCTTCCAATGATTCATCCTCAAAGACAAAAATATGAACAAAGAGAAAGAAAAGGTAATAATAATGAGATACGTAACAGTAACACCAATAATAGCAGTAATACTTTGTAGTATAGAACTATGCTTTTTTCTTAATTATTAATGTTGGATTGCTTTCTTTTCTCATGGAAAAGTCAGGATTATGGAACTTTCATTTTGTTGAAGTTCATTCTCTGGACAAACTCTTGATAGAGCATTTCATTTTCTTTCTTTGAGATTTCACAATGAACTTCATCCAAATCTCCGGTGGTACCGTCCCAACCCTCTGCCATAACCTTGAAATCAGGTTTGTAGGTAAGGGATACCACGTGGAATTCGCGGTCATGAGAATTAAAAAATCTGAAAAAGGAAAGGAGTTATGCACTATGAGAAATAAAATCTGGCTATTAGATCAGCCAAGCACCACTAAGCTTATAAATTTGCGACTACAATTAACGCAGCAGGAAACCTTTACCATCAGTATGAAGTATGCACAGAATATTGATATCATTACAAAATTATTAGAACTACAGGACCCATTGTATATAATAGAAGTAATGCTTGTGAATTGATATCTTACTCTGAGCAGGTGTCAAGCAGGAGCTCAACAGAATCATCTAAAGGATGACCAAGCTTTTTCCCCTCTTCCTCCTCAAGCTCTTTAAGCCAAAGAATAGCATGCACTCTCTGCCTCATAATCCTATAATCCTTAGCCAGCCTCTCAACAGTATAAACCTCAGGGATTTCCTTGTGCTTCTTATACTTCTCAGCCTTCTCTGAGTCTTTGAGATAAGACCCTCTCGCACCAGGCTCACTTCCAGTTCTCTTATCCTATCCTCAATTTCTTGCAAACCAGATACCACTGATGATTGAGATAAAGAAACATAGATTATGAGATTAAAACAAAACTGACCAAAAAGGATACAGAGCCGACGACTTAAAATGTAACTATTTACTGTGTTATGAAATACGAATTTAAAATGTAACTATTTACTCTGTTATCAAGCAACCAAGTTATGAAATACGAATTTAAAATGTACTATTTACTATGTCTGTAATGAATCTGTGAAATCAAATAGTTAAACCCTAAAAAGCACCACTGCAAATAGCATAAGAAAATTGAATTAACCCTAAAGAAATTGGGAGAGAAGAATATGAAAAGGAAATACCTTTCGGCCCTTGTTATTGGAAAAAAACCCAACAGAGCAAAAGCCTCCAACTCCAAACACTGTTGTGGGATTTTGAAGAGAGCAAGAGAGAGAATATATCGGAAGAAATAAAGCAAGAGAGGGGGAACCAAAAGGGGGAAGAAGAAGAAGCAGCAAAAGCGAAGTAGAGGAAGAGGAAATAAGGGAAAAAAAGGACAACTGAAATTAAGTACGCAACCATATACTTAAAATAACAACTAATCAAATAGAACTAAAAAAATATGGGGGAATCATATCAGTCACACTTACCAAGTATTGAAAGATGTGTTCTCATGCTAAGCCCGAGCCAGCAAGCCCTCGGCAGCCATCCAAGATGACTTTTTCAACGCCAAAACCTTCCATCTCCTCCTTAATTCCTTCTGAGTCGCCTCTGCATTTCATTAAAGAAACCAATTTTGATAAGGATTAAAATATATATATATATATATATATATATATATATATATATACACACATACACATAACTGATTCAAATTAGCATAAACAAAAATGGGAAGAAAGGGATTCTAACCAATGTCCCAATTGCTATCAATGAGAACAGCCTTAACGTCTTTGGTTGGCTCACTGGTTCTCTACATTAATATGATTCATCACATGAAAATGAGAAGAAAACTGGAACTTTACACACAAAAATTAAAAGAGCCATGTTCAAAAGAGTTTTCTAGTTATCTAGAGGAGAGGTCACCCAACATGACCAAAAGTAATATTTCTTTTACTACAGCTGTTAAACGTCAATTTCCATCTGATAACAAAGCTTAAATTACATGGATAATATTTATGGTTATAAACTGAAAACACAACTTTACGTGATCCATTCGTTGATAATGCACCATTTTTAAGAAAGTTGAACCCAGAAATATCTAAAAAATTATTCCAGTTTCCCGGACACCTAAATGATTAGCTATAGTTCGAATTAAAAGTTAAACGAACAGACCTTGTGAACATGATCAGCTCTTTGGGAGGTTTCCCAATCCTTTAGATGCTTAATAGTAGCATGTGAATTTGAATCAATATGAACCAAGAAGAATGGCACGTCTGAATCAGACAAATTAGGTTAGAAGAAACATTCAAAATTTACATCCGAGCGTATGTAACATAAGGAGAAGTTTCTGCAGACAGTTGACAAAATAGAAAATGAAACATATGTATACCTGCTGTTAGGCTTGAGTTATGCCACTCGTTAAATGCTGCTGAAACAGATTCTGCCATGTCAGGTTCGTAATTTCATATTTTAAACGCTTGTTCTCTGTGTCATGACAGTGGCACCCAAAGGCTACAACGTACGTAACCTATTCCAAATATAACTTATGTTTTCACAGTTTCTAATGAAATCAAATCAAAATTAAATTCTTTGTTTGATTTGCAGGGAAGGTCACCTGCCTTGCCGGCAAGTAGTCGATCTTCCTGATCTTGATCTTCTCCCTCATCATTTTCTCCAATTCTTCCTACCCATTTCATAAACAATAATTCAAGTAAAATAAAATAAACAAACCAAGCAAACAATTAGCATCTAAACAAAAATATTTGCAAAGTTGAAGGGAAAGAAGCATACCAGAAGATGAAGAGGAAGAAGAAGAGCATGTTACAGAAACCTTTCTCATTTTTCAGAAACCCAACTCTGGGTCGACTTGAGCTTCTCCGCCGTCGTTCTCACCGGCTCTGATTTACATGTCAGTCTGAGCAGCCGACCCGTCAAAATCTCCATCTTTATCTTCGATCCTAGCTGATTTCGACATTCTCTTTCGAATTTTGCTCTCCCATTCTCTGAAACAAATTCTGATCATAATTCATTCCTTAAGTAGAACTAATAGATTTAAACGAAGAAGAAAAATAAAATAAAAAATAAAAAAGAAGCTGGGTTTTTACCTCTAAACAATCTCCCAGCAACAAAAGGCTTCAATCACTACCTTTGCACATTCGATTGGTCAGTAAAATATACAGAATAAGAGTTACATCACATAGCAATAAAGTAGAGAGAATTGGAAGACAAAAGGAGATTTAAAATGTGTAAACCTCACTAACGTCACAAACCCTAGAATTCTTGCTGACCAAAATCACAATTTCAAATCTGAAGCTGCATGATATGAATAGAGTTTGTAAACCTAATCCTAAAGCACAAAAGATTTGAAAACAACTCCTCACCTTTTCAATCAGCTGAGGCTGTCATGGGCTTCAAATCTCAGTCATTCTGTGCAACCATGGCCTTTGTCCTCAATCTCAGGCCTTCCTGCCTGAGGAGTGCAGGTAGTGAGAGTGATGCAACCACTCAATCTCCTCTCTCTCTCTCTTGAATCGTACACCCCTATGACTTTGTCTACCTGCAAGCCGTATGCCTTCCCCTCACCAAATCCATATCGCTCTCTCTACCTTCCTCCCCCTTTCTCCTCTCTGCAAGCCGCATGCCTTCCCCTCACCAAATCCCTATCCCTATCTCTATCCCTCCCGCTCTCTCTCCAGACGGCATGCTCTCACCAAGTCCCTCTGCAGTTCATAGAAAGAAAGGAAATGAAAGTCTTCCTAACCCACCCAATCCGTTCGAAACCCTACAGACTAAAACGACCATCGCACCCCTACCTTTCCATGATTATTAACACGCGGCATCAACAATTAATGAAATAAGTTTAACCATATATTCAAACAACAATGATATAAACAACAAAGAAATAAAATTGCAAAAAAATCTAAGGTTTAGATGAGAGAAGAATTAAAAGCATCCATTCAATTCAGGTGCTTGAAATTCATATGTTTACAATTCATCTACTGAATGGAGCGTGTAGAAATTGACTAAATTCATACATATGTTTAGGATTCATCCTTCTTCCTCATAAAAATTGCTCCGAACTGCAATTTTCAATACAATTTGAGCCAAAATTTAATTTAGTATCTGTCATCATCAAAATCTTCTTTCGAGTCAAAACTCATGATTGGGGGAGTTCAATAAGCAACAGATAATTACCTAAAGGTTTCATCCACCAACAACAATCCCTTCCTCAACAGCCGAATGAAAAAAAAAAAAAGTTTAAATTTTGATGGTGCTTTCTGTGCCAAAGATAAGATGAAAGAAAACTTAACATGTGTACCTGTTCAGGTAGAGTGAACAAAGATTTTATACGAAACAGAAAAATTAGCAATTTGTGAATTTATTTTGTCATGCCATAAAGTTTTTAAGAATCGAGTAACATATATTTTTCGACATACTGGTTCTTTGCACGAATAAACTGAAGGTGTAACCCCGCCTTCTTCTGTGGAATGCTTCTCTAACTGCAATAGCAGACAAACTGATGATGATGGGGACTATTAAATTCCTGAAAAAAGCATGAAATTTTGAAGCTTTACAAAGTGTAACAATAAAACTGCACCCCGTGGAGAAACCACATAATTCACTAACCTTGATAAAGTCAGAAGTATCCGCATCCTGTCTGAATTCCTGAAAAAAGCATGAATTTTGAAGCATTACAAAGTGTGCTTTTTAAAACTTGGACACAGGGCCTTCTTCTTCTTCCGGAAATGATCAAAACTAATCAAATTGTGGAATTCCAATCGTTAAAATGACATACCAGACTGAAGAAATATTGTCGTATGCCTCTCACTCTTTCAATGGAGCTATAGCTCCTTATACCAAGAACTGCAACAATTCAATCAAAAGTGAGACCAAGTTTACGCAAAGTAAATACATACACAATAACATTATATTTGACAATATAAGACATTGAAGTCCCCCCATTCAGAAGCTGCATATAAAAGGTACCTTCTTTAATTCCTCTGGAAGACAACCATTAATAAGACCAATTGTCTTTATGGCCATTTTGTGTCAAATTATCAATTCAAACAGAGCATTTCCTGCATATCAAAGTGTTCTATTAGCTTCTATCTTATTGAATTCCAGCATGCTAATCTTATGTTCTTAATTGCAATTGTCTAATCATATCAAAGTCGACGAATTCAGAATATTAACCATCACAACTGATGGCATTAGAAAAAATTGTTGAGCAAGAAAAATAAACACACCCAAGAATCAAACAGTAAAATTCAATGAGAAAAAAAGCTCAAAGCTGCAATCTTTAATAATAATATCTAACTGAAATGCTCTATAAACTTCAGCAGTTAGAAGATCACACCAGCAAATGCATCAAAAGAACAAAAAACTATATGAAAATTACAGAACCTAGATGAAAGGAAAACAAAAAAGCATCAATAAAATGAGAAAAAGAAGAACTCACCTAAGAATTAGAGTCCCAAGAATGCTGCAGGTTGATTTGATATGCCAAACTGCACTGCCTTTATATATCAATGTTTGAAACAATCTTTCAAATTTCTAAAAAAAAATTAATAATACTTTGAAATAATGAACAGAATCTCCCTTTTGGTCCAAAAGAGAAACAAATAATAAAAGAATAGAACCCAGAACCCTTTAAAGCCAATTATATGTGGGGGTGGGGTTGTGGGATCACAAAAAGTCCAAAATTTTTTTGCACCGCCCATGAAAATTAAACATTGACATTGATTCACAGAGAAGAATATGGGCAATGACAAAGATGGGATGCGGGAGGGGAGGATGAGAATAGAGGGAATAGACACAGACCAAAAATATAAACTTAAAACAAAATCATACGAAGATATTGTTTAATAACTAATGGCATATATATATCAAGGACACAAATAGTTGCAGAGGCGTGGATTATACCTTTTCATCTTGGATTTGAGAACTTCGTGGCCTCCGCCTTATTTTTGAACACCAGATTTGAGCTCTGTGTGCTCAAATTAAATGAGTTCATCCAGGCATGGGCTTCAGATCTCACTAACTCTCTGCAAGCATGGGCTTCCTCCTCAATTTCCGTCATATTCTCTCTGCGCTCTATCCCTCCTCCCTCACTCAATCAGGTCAGAGAGCAGACAAATCTGATGTGGACTTCAATGTATACGAATCCATAGTTGAACTCATTTCGTGACAAACTGAGTGAAAGAAATGAATCATCAAATTAAGATCCACATAATTAGTTGCATTTGTCACTCTTAGATATCTACAAATTAAGATCCACATAATTAGTTGCATTTGACACCAAAATACCAATCATTCCAAAACACC